CCCCACTAGCTGGAGTGACGACCTGGTAAGACATGCAGGAAGTCGATGGTTGCAAGCGGCTCAGGACCCTGCTTTGTGGCATACATTGGGGGACGCCTATGTTCAGCAGTGGACTTGTAAAGGGCTGTAATGATGATGATGATGATGATTCTGTGAGAGCGTGGTCCTTCCCCGGTCGAATCAACCCCTTTGTGCTACAATTATAATAATATAGCTACAGCATATCTGTTTGGCCTTCTTGTACGCAAAGGCGCTCTTAAGTTTTTATATTTTCCTGCCCTTGAAAATAACAAATTATAACTCACCAGATTTCAACGCGGTAGAAGCCGAGTGCAAAAGATAGTTAGCTGAAATATATAACGCATAGGTGGATTTATAAAAATTATATACAACTTTAGATAAACTCAGGAAATATATCAACTGTAATTATTTTTTGTGTATGGATTAGACTGATTTAGATGTTATCAATTAATCTACATCGCTTATCAATTAATTCGTGAGTATTAATGTAAGGTATGAATTAAAATTTGGTACCATTCGTGTTCGAAATGGCGGGCTGGAGTCTGGCAGTGTTTTTGGTGGCCGTGTCCGGGAGTTTGGTAATTTTTTTTATATTATTTCTATTTATATAAATTTGTAGTAATCACATTGTATAAAAAATCGATAAAAGCTTTTTATGAACTATGTTAATTCATACTTTAAATTTACAATACGCCATGTGCAGAGAATGATATGAATAATAGAGAATGAGATTATAGGGTATCCGAAGTTTGAGGACTTTCTGGAGAATCAAAAAACTTAACACAGATTTAGATGTTTTCATGTAAAATAATAAACTACAGTCAAACAGAGTGAGTGAGAACTGGGCAAGCGAGAAAACTCTGTAAGTGAGAGTTACTATCGGCTCCCGTCATTTTAACCTTATTAAGCTCTATAAATGAGAAACAGAAACCTCTGTAAGAGAAAGGCGTTTTCCACTCGTGGACCTCTATAGCTGAGACTGTATTGCCTGTACCTCTATGAACGCCACTAAGGCGTATTGAACATCTGCTCTTTCTTAAATTTCGTGGTACTAACATTGTTTTTGTTTCCTTAAATTTTGAGGAACTAATTAAAATTGTTTTTGGATCTATTCTATTCGCATGGCTAAATGCGCGTGTGTTCCGACTTATTTGTCGCACTTACTACAGTTGAGTTGATAACGTTCGGCACGTACTCATGGGTAGTAACATAAGTTATAAACCTGTGAATACGTTTGAGTGCGGCAAATCACGAAAAAATAAATTGACGGATTTCTTTATGTAAATATTGGTGTATGATATTGTGTGTCTTTTTTGTAAGCATCTTTGTCAAATTCTAATGAATTATACCGATACAGTACGTACAAATGTTTGTCACTAAACATTTGGTGTATTTTTATAAACCTCTATAAGTGAGAAAGGCTACTCCTAAACCTCTTATAAGTTAGAAACTCGGGTTAAAGAGAAACTATCATAAGTGAAAAAGAGATCGCGGTCCCTTGAACTCCCGCTTATCCAGGTTCGACTGTATTGACTAATGACTAATGGATAATATACCGTGTGGTGGCAGTGTAAGGATATCCACTACCCCATATCATCCCGTGGGTGTCGTAACAGGCGACAGAGGGAAACAAATCAGGAGATGGGCAGCAGCGACTTACTAATAACGATTTAAAATAAAAACCTGCGGTTGCCAACCCGCTTGCCAAGCGTGGCAACTGTGGTAAATAGCCCCCTATGAGGCTATCTATGGAGTCTTTAATAGGCTGTAACCTCATACACAATATGTAAGAAAAGTTATAAATGGAGTTTTTAATGAAGGGATAATAATATTCTGCTAATGAGATGTCGCGGATTGGGGTTGAGGTAAAGTTTTTTTTTTAGTTTTAGTTTGTCACATAATGTGTGACAAACTAAAACTAAAAAATTGAGAACAAATTGAGAAGTTATTTTTAAATAAGAGTTTATCTGATTCCAGAGTATTTTATTAACGCAAAACAACGCTTCAGTGATCTATGTTGCTCTTTAATTTTCTGTACAATTTTAAATCTCTTTTTTATTTTTTGAAACAAAAACAAAAACTTTTTTATTCAATATATATTTTAAATAATAGTTATGGAAAGTCACTTTTTTAAATTGTGTAAAGTGGGACTTTAAAACAACATCTTACAATCATGTATGTTACAATTAAAAACATAACAAATAAGAAATAACTTAATAGCGATCAACCTTCCCAGGGTTATTGTCATCCATAAATTCCTTAATATTACAATAATACCCCCCCCCCCTTTTTATACAGTTACTTTAATAAACTTTTTGAACAATGTGCGGGTCATCTTTTGTATATTTTATGAGATTTTGTTGTAAAAACTTATACATCGCCCTGAGAATTAATTACTGACTCGTTGACTTCGTTCCTAGTATTTACAGAATGAATAGGTATTATTTATTTTTGTAAAAGTACTTTTATTTTTGTGTACGTACATTATATTATATTTATATTTGTTTACTTTTAGGAATATCGGTAGTTTGTATTTTCTTTTCATTATCAATCTAATTATTATTAAAATAAAAACAACAAATAATACAGAAGGAAACATTAACCTTTACACTTTTCTAACAAATTAATTTTAACACTATGAAATCTGTCAAATATTTCACCTCAATCCAAAGTGGCGCCGCCCTGGTGGCAGAAAAGTCGAGGATGCTTTCATTGATATATAATGATATAGAGAGTATGTTCCGAAATGTTTCCAGTATACTGCCGAATGGAATGCAAATGACGTCATTAATTGACGCCATATGCCACCATATTTGATATAACGAATCACCAGTATGGCGTCGATTTATGACGTCATTTGCATTGGCCAGTATATTGGATTTTATTTCAGAACATACCAAGAAATACAGGGTTGTTCAACATATCGGAGGCAACTTAAACTCGTGTACCGTTGTGTTGTGAAGAATGTGAGGACGGAACTCAACTCATGATAAATTTTCAAAATTATTAGAACAATTCTTTTAGGTATTATACAGGGTGTTTGGTGGGTGGTCTGACAAACTGAGATGGGTTCATTAGAAGCATATTTTCTTAGTAAATTTTTTTTCTATCTTTTACCATTTTTTTTAAATGAATTTTTAATTTTTTTTTGTTATTACCCCAATTTTCTAGTATTTTGGTTCAATAACTTCTACTATTTCTAGTTTTCTACCATTTTTTTTCTATTTTTCCTAAGAAATATAATTTTTTTAAATTAAAAGAAAGATTGAAAGCCCAAAAGGCATAAGAAAAAATACTAACGACACATTGAAAGTGAACAAACGAGAAAAAATTGTAAGCCCTTAAGTTTCCAGCCCCTTAAAAGAATAAATAAATATGTTGAGTAATTTCAAATGGCCACTAAAAAATTTCTATTTCATCCTCTTTCTATCGGTATATCACATGTTACATAAAACTTTAGATTATCGACAAAATTGTTGATAATCAAATGTGAGAACGGGGGAATTAAAAAATTACAAGTTTCGAAAAATTGCCAGGGCACCCTAAACTGGTTTTTACACGTGTAAATATTTTTTATGGTTTCATTCTTGCGTTTGCGAGCCAGATAGATGTTGTCTCTTTCTGGTGGTACAGGCGAAGTTACGCCGCGCGGATCAGCTACCTGCTTCTGTTGTTACTAAATTTAGTCGTGATCACAGAGTACCTTTGTATAAACTGAAAGTCGTGATTTGACTGTCTCTGACATTGATTTATATAACACTAGATCAGTAATAACCGCGCCAAAGCGTTGCCACTGCACATATGGCCACAGCCATATGTCTAGCTAACGTGAGTTCATTGTTCAATGTGACGCCGACAGAGTTGAGCCGCGACAAAAATGGATAAATGCGTAGTGAAAGAATGCTATTCAAGGTCACAAAAACGTAATAAATCAAGCGGAATCACTTTCAACACATAATTTTTGGTTCTTGTTTTATACAAACGTAAAAAACCTCAAATAATTAAATAAAATTGTCGAATATTGCCATTTAGGTTCAATGTTGCCACTTTTTGTCGTATTTGTGTATATTGTCGTATTTGTGATTATCCTACATTAATGGGAGATTGGGAGACATTACATTATTATACATTAATTAATGGAGTAAGTTAATTTGTTACCTCTGATTTTAAATATTTTGGAAATTATAATAAAAACTACGTTTTAAATTTCATACAAAATAATTAATTATTCTTATTTTAGTTTATTCATGAATTATCTATTAAATATATTTTATTACCTATTTTATATTAATAATTTTATATTATTTATAATTTCATATAAATTTTATATTAATTATATTTTATTACCTATTTTATATTGTTTGTTTTATTAGTACCATAAAAATACGTTTTATTTCATCATTATGTTTACTTCTATTCATCTGATAAGCTTTGTATCCTTTTTTTCTAAGGGGACGTAATAAAGATTTGAAAATAAAATATAATTTTTAATATAAAAACAATTAACTGCAGCTTAAAAAGAACACATTTATATTACGTATTTTAGGTAAAATTTCATATAGTAAGCCACACCAACCCGCCATTGCATGTTTGTGTGTCTATCTTTATCTAATCTTAGCGACGATATTGTTTTCGCAACTTGTGTAAGTGAGATAGATATATGTTTACTTAAAATTGTTATTAGTTTCAAAGCTACGTCGTCGCGTTTGGATAGTGGTTACACTTTTTTCGATGCGCGGTAATGTGGTTTGCTCCTCTAGTGTTGTATAACTCAATGGTCTCTGAAGCTACTTGCGAGTTCTTTTTCGACATTCATTGTTGAACAGTTTCGTTGAGTTTAGTTTTTGTTTCGTTGATTGTTAAGTTTTTGTTGTTTGTTATTTGTTTCTGTTTTCGGACGGTAGTGTTCAAACTTAATTCAAAACACTGCAGTGATTATGGCCCAACGCACTTATTTTACTAACCAAGAATACGCTGATATGCTTTTGGTTTATGGCCGGGCCCTGAATAACGGCCACAGAGCACGTAGACTTTATGGAGAGCTGTATCCCACGAGAAGGTTGCATAGCCATGATACGTTTGCAAATACTTATAGAAGGCTACGTGAAACTGGCAAATTGCAACACAGGGAACCAGGAGTACGTGGAAGACCACTTGATGTTGCTGTGGATGAGCGTATCTTGGCGGCTTTTGACGATGATCCCACTATAAGCATTAGAAAAGTAGCGACTGAACTCGGCCTTTCTGTATGGAAAGTGTGGTCGGTTCTCCGCAACGATTGCAAGCACCCATTTCACCACACCCCAGTGCAAGGTACTTATTATTTCTTCTTTTTATAAAATTACTGTTTATCTTATCCATTATTAATTATTTCGTACATTTTAAAGTGAGTAAAGTAACTTACACCATTTTTTTTTGTGCTAGGTATCGTGGAAGCAAATTTTGCACGGCGTACAGAATTTTGCAGCTTTATACTGCACAAAGATGTCGACGATAATCAATTTTTGAAGAGTATTTTATGGACCGACGAGTCAAAGTCTACACGAGAAGGCATTTTAAATCAACATAATTTACATTATTGGTCAGATAAAGATAAAAATCCACGTAAAACGAGACAAATATCGCATCAGACACGATTTAGTGTTAATGTGTGGGCAGGTGTGATTGGAAGATATTTAATCGGTCCTCATTATCTACCTGATAATTTAAACGGAGATAATTATTTATATTTTTTACAAAATGATCTCCCGGAACTAATGAGCGAGGTACCAATAATGAATGAGGACACAAGAATAATATTTCAAAACGATGGCTGCCCTGCCCACTATCGCAGAACCGTAAGGGAATATTTAGATGTGGTATTTCCGAACACGTGGATAGGGAGACTCGGACCTATCGAATGGCCTGCGAAATCCCCAGATCTGACTCCAATGGATTTTTATGTCTGGGGCGGACCAAAGGAAATTGTATACGAAAATGAAATACAAACAAAAGAAGAGTTGATTGAAAAAATAAATGCTGCTTTTCATATCATGAAAGAAGAAATGCGATTAAAAACTACCACGACTGAAATACGTCGAAGATATCAAGCGTGTCTGCATAATGTAGGAGGACATTTTGAACAAAACTTGTAAATTTAGTAAAAAATTACTAGTAGGTACTTATTTTTTTTATTATTATTGAGCAAGACCCTGGTTAGTGTAGTGTAGACACAACCATTAATTTTTTTGTATTAAATACAATAATAGGCGCTCGTCGGAGCTTGTAGCTGTAGCTCACCCGCGGGTCCTAAGCGGCAATTTTTTAATTTCCCCGCCCTCACATTCAATTATCAATGATTTTGTTAAATAATCTAAAGTTTTATTTGACATATGATATACCGATAGAAAGAGGGTAAATCAGGGAAGTTTTTAAGGCCATTTGAAATTACTCAACGTATTTATTTATTTTTTTTAAGGGGCTGGAAACTTAAGGGCCTACAATTTTTTTTTCTCGTTTGTTCACTTTCAATGTGTCGTAAGTATTTTTTTCTTATGCCTTTTGGGCTTTCAATCTTTCTTTTAATTTAAAAAAAAATCATATTTCTTAGGAAAAATAAAAAAAAATGGTAGAAAACTAGAAATAGTAGAAGTTATTGAACCAAAATACTAGAAAATTGGGATAATAACAAAAAAAATTTAAAAATTCATTTAAAAAAAATGGTAAGAGATAGAAAAAAAAATTACTAAGAAAATATGCTAACGAACCCATCTATCTCCCATTTCAGTTTGTCGGACCACCCACCAAACACCCTGTATAATTAAACAACATTTAAATTTCTGAAAATATTAATTAGGTATACCTAGGTAATGAAATTCATTTGTTTAACAAACACGTTAGACACGTTCGATAGTCGTTTAAATTTTTGTAACTCAATGGCATCTAAATAAAATTTGGCACACAGATAGACTATTTGTTGCATTAGCACAAGATATTTTTATCGCGGAAAATTAAAAGTATTATTGTTACTTTTGTCTGTTGAATATCTTTATGTAATACAAGTCATATCATGACTTACTGGTTAAAGGAAGAGCGGACTCATCCTAATACAGGTTTTTCAAACTTAAAAGGGTGAGATCCATGTCTAACACTGTAAATGAGACTTGTGTTATGTATGAATATTTTTGTATTTTTGTATTTTTTAAAAGCTACTAAGGAAAGAATAACAAGAAGGCGCTTGTGTATTATTATTCACTCGAGCGCAGCCGAAGGCGGGAGCTAGTCTGTTGATAATAACGCTATTAATCTTTTTTTTTTTTTTTTTTAACATTGGTGTTGGACGGCGTGTTTTGTTTTTCTCCCGCGAGGGGTGTTTTGTTGGCCCTAAATATTATTTTTTAATCCCCTTTTTTTTTTTATTTTTTTTTTTTTATTTAAATAAATAAAAAGAAAAAAAAAAAAAAAAATTCTCCTTAAAAAAAAATTAAAAAAAGGGGGGGGTGTTTGCCCTCGCGGATCGTTTCGTGCCATTTTTGGGGTTGGGCTTTTTTTTTTGGATTTATTAGTAATTTAATAATATTAAATTGTTCATTCATTCATAACAGCATATGAAAGCCCACTGCTGAACACTGGCTTCCCCCAAAGATTGCCACATTAAGAGCATTTTGCCATAGTTGCCAGGCTTCAAAGGCAGGTTGGCAACCGCAGTTTATTATTATTTCGAGTAGTTCAATAAAAAATAAAAATGTAAATTTCCTCGCAACCTTCCGCTAAATAAATACAATGATGTGTCTTACCTGGATTGAAGAGCACCTCCCGCCCTCCCTCAATTGCATGCACTAACTCCGTCACCACTAGTTCCAGCACCACTACTCCCAACACCACTATTCCAGGTAAGACACACCATCGACGATAATACCGGAGTATTATCGTCGATAATACCGGAGTAGAGAGGGAGGGCGGGAGGTGCTCTTCAATTCAAGTAAGACACATCATTGTATTTATTTAGCGGAAGGTTGCGAGGAAATTTACATTTTTATTTTTTATTATAATGGATTTCTGCAAAGTAACGCCTGATTCTCTCAATTATCTTGAGTCGTTCAGTTCAAACCAAAACTGTTGATATTTTTTAAAATACTAGATTTTCGATATATCCATAAATAAACTTATATGGAAAACTCAGATATTAATATATTTATAATGACAAATATGTCGAAAATCCACTATTTTCAAAATATCAAGAGTTTTAGTTTGAAATGATCAGTTGAACTGACCGCGTGTGACGACCACTACACCGCTACTACACGTTACACGTTTAAATTTAAATGTAGGAGGTGAAACTTTTTTTTATAGAATTAGGGTGATAACCGAGCACTCAGTCCACCTGACGGCAAGTGGATGCATAGACATCTACATTTATCCTCAATTAAAACGCAGATGCGTTGTCACCCCTGATGACTATGATGGAATGTGTCGTTTCCAGTAAAAAGGGATCTCCGGATCTCTACACTCACCATACAAAACACCGCAGTATATAGCTGCTATTTTACGCTGGTATTCTGTGAGAGCGTAGTCCTTCCCCGGTCGAGCCGACCCATTCGTGCTACAACTATAATATAGACACGTAAAAAAAACTGAACTTGTTTTTGAAACAGAAACAGACTTTTTTATTCAATATCTAATGTATAAAAATTAAGTTTTTTCGTATGTTATGCGCTGCCATACCGTTCATCTGATAGCGGTAAAACTTCAACTTACTGTTTGCACTTGCGCGAAGGTTATACTTAGGTCATACAATTAACTCAGAGTAGGTGGCTCGCGTATTGTACGAATTTATTTGAAATATATTATATGTCATTCAACGCCAATAAATGTATTATCATTCATATCATCATATCATATCATCGAAGGGCTCTTGTCTCCATAAATATCCCCTCGGTTTTAGAGCCTTGCGGGATCTTTAGAGACGATGGCAAGAGACCCGACGGTATGACTTAGGTCTCTTGGAAAAGAGGTAAAGCCCTAGTGTGGGATGCTACTTGCGTTGACACTTTGGAGGCCTCTCATCTCAAGAGTACCTCTTTTAGAACCGGGGTGGCATCAGAGGCAGCCGAATTTAGCAAATGGCGCAAATATGAGTCTTTGAGAAATGACTACATATTTGTGCCATTTGCTGTGGAGACTATCGGTCCGTGGAGTCCACGTGCAGTGAAGTTCCTGAAAGAATAGTATCCACGACTGTTCATCGCTCCTGGTGATAAAAGGGCTGGTTCTTTCCTCGCTCAAAGGCTAAGTATAGCTATTTAGCGAGGAAACGCAGCCAGCGTTCTTGGCACCATACCACGGGGAGCAGGACTTTTTGACTATTAAAATTTTTAGTTTTTTCTATATTATGGTTTCTTTTTTATATTGTGTATAATTAGTATTAATTGTAAATATTATCATTTATAATTAAACAATATAATTCGATATTTCCACAATTATTTCTTCTACGGCTGCTACGCCGTATACCAACGATATCACACACCAGTGGTATACCAAACCAGCTAATAGGTTATAAATAATACTTATTGGGAGTCACAGTCCCTAGACGACCTAAAAAGAAACCCAGCAGTGTTATTATATATGTTACACAATCAACAACACAAAACAAATTAGAAAATAATAGAAAGAATTAGCTTGGTGGCGATCATCTGATTCCCAAGGGTTACTGTCACCATTAAACTCCTTAAATATTATAATAACCCGTTTTATAGAAACTTGCTGTACGCCATGCTGTAGCTATATTGTGGTTGCAGCACGAATGGGTCTGCTCAACCGGGTAGGACCACGCTCTCACAGAATACCAGCGTAAAATAGCAGCTTAATACTGTTGTGTTTCGTGTGATGAGTGTAGAGAACCGGAGACCCTTTCTACTGGAAACGAGGCATTCCATCTCAGTCCTCAGGGCTGTCAATGAATCTGCGTTTTAATGCTTAGTTGAAGATAAATACAGATGTTTCTATATTAAAAAATCCTTTGAGCGTGTAAAATTTTGCGATTATGAATCTGAGAAGGTTATGGGAAAATTAATACGCCGCGCTGGTCCAATGCCCTTCGCGGATTTCACATGTCCTAAAAATATATTATACTTCGGACATGCAGGATTTTTCATGAGATATTTTTCACCGCCAAGCTCGTGGTAAATCAGCATTTAATATTGCAATTAACAAATTAATTTGTGCCGACGAGGATCGAACACGGGCTGCCCGTTGTACCGTATAATTTTCCCCGAGCGCTTAGCCCCCGAGCTACCAAGTCACCATTCTTTCTAATCTGTATTGATATCTAAAGA